GCGGTTTGTTGCCAGTAGAGATTTTTTATTATTCTAATGTCATTCCAGAATGTATCAAGGTTGTTGAGTAACTCTAACAGATCTTTGTGGCGTATTTTGTCGAACGCCTTTGCATAGTCTATAAAAACAGGTACGCGTTCTTCTGCATTTATATTGCTCTTTCTGATAACATTCTGATCATAAATATCGCGTCCCTTGTTCTGGTGTCTTTAACGAACCCGCACTGTTCTTGTCCTATGTCTGGTTTGATTCTGCTGCGCGCTCTATTCATCGGAATTTGGATGATGAGTTTTCTTATGTGGCTCATTAGGCTGATTGTTCGGTGGTGTTCACATTCGTTTGCGCCTGGTTTCTTAGGCAATCCTATGAAAATTGATCTGCTTAGGCCTTTCGGTATATAACGACTGTTTAAATAAATAAATTTCATTTATTATTTCTGCAAACTTGTCTTTGCCGAAATCGTCTAAGGCTGTCAGCATCTCTATTATAATTCCCTATGGCACTGCCGCTTTGTTTCTGTTCAATTTGTCCAGAGCAGCTTCCTCTTCGGTTTTTAATATTTCCGGTCCGTCAGTATTTCGGTTGTTCTCTTTCGTCATGGAAGAGATCTCCAATATATTCGTTCCAGCGTTGAAGATATTTTCTTTTTCCCAAAATCATTCTGATGTAACTTAAATAAAGACGAGATATGTTACATTTCCAATTTGTTCCTTATTTTATCATACAGGTATAAATACATGTATGATAGTTATAAAGGTTAAAGGCTTGAACGGAAGGCTTTCTTTGATAATCAAGCACTTCAGTAAGATGCATTAATGTTGTGAAATGAGTCGTGATTTTGACACATATATGTGCAGTATTTTCTGTGTTACAACGTATTAACGCCTAAACAAAACATACAATACTTTTGAGGCAATCAACATTTATTTTGAAGATTAACATAGCAAAAGTTTTAAAAAAAATGTCATGTAAAAGAATTTAATATATACATTAACGTAGGATGCAAATTGCACTAATTCCACTTTCCATGCTGAGGTGATATCGCGTGTCAGCTCATTTTGTAGCTTATTCGCCTTTGAACTGAGAGAGAGAGATCCTGACCAATATTAATTTTACATATATATGTGTGTGTGCCCGTGCTTAATTAATATATATATATATATATATATATATATATATATATATACTCATGCTGCCTCTGGGAGATCTCTGACTTCCACTGCGCAAACATCAAGATTGGTTTGATGAAAATGATACAGAAGTCCCAAAAGATCTGGGTAAATGACAAAAACTGCCAGTGAAAACAAGTCAACTACAAAGGGTGTAAAGCAAGTGTACAACGTACACTCAGACAAATGAAAGAGGGTTGGTGGTCAGTCAAGGTTGCTCAATTTCAGCTGCTGACAAAAAGGACTCAAAATCTTTTTATGATGGTTTAAAAGCAGTGTATGGACCCTAAAAGCACGGTGTCTCTCCAATTCTAGCCAATGACGGGGATACTCTCTTAACTGGTAAAAAAACCATACTTCAACACTGGAGAGATCATTTTGAAATAGCACCTCAGTCACAGATGATGAAGCTCTGTCCACTGTAACACAACATACTGAAATTCCTGAGTTATCTCTGGAACCCACTCTTCTGGACGTGCAAGCTTCTATCAAGCAGATATTGCCGGGAAAAAGCTCCTGATGAGAATGCTATCCCTGCTGAAATCTACAAACATGGAGGGCATACACTTTGGCAAGACTAATCCTCAACAGAATTATAAAACACATTGTCGATACCATCTACCCTGAATCTCAGTGTGGATTTCGTTCCGGTCGTGACACTATCGACATGATTTTTGCCCTACGTCAGGTTGCAGAGAAGGTCCGTGAGCGAAACAAGGTGCTATTTATGGTGTTTGTGGACCTTACTAAGGTCTTTGATACTGTAAACAGAGAAGCACTCTGGAAAGTTCTGAAGAAACTTGGTATTCCTGACAACATATTGAATGTCATCATTTCATGTTGGTATGCAAGCTAGTGTTATATCTGATGGTCAGCGTTCTGATCGATTTGATGTCACTAATGGAACTAAGCAATGCTGTGTCATGGTGCCTGTTTTGTTTGCACTGGTCTTCTCGATGATGCTGATGTATGCTTTTTGAGATACAAAAACTGGCGTTAAATTTCATTTTCGTACTAATAGAGGACTGTTTAACTATCAGCGATTTAAGTCCAAAACACTTCTACGTGCCAGTATTATAAGCGATCTACTTTTTGCAGCCGACGCTGCCCTTGTAGCTAACTCTTCAGAAGAAGCTCGAGAATGACCCAACCGATTTTCTGCGGCATACAAGGCATTCGGACTTACTATCAGCATCAACCTTGTTCATCAACCTTGCCCGACACCAAAGCAAATTAGAGTTGTAAACCCCCTGTTCGTAAGTTTTCTGAGGTCCCTTTGCAAGTTGATGGAAAGAATCTCAAGTAAGTGGAATCTTTCAAATACCTCGGGAGTATGGTAAATTCAAATGCATCACTTGATGACGAGATTGTTAATCTTATTGCAAAAGCCAGCGCTTCCTTTGGTTCGCTGTGTCATAGTTTGTGGGACGAAAAGGGGAATAAAGCTTTGCACTAAAATCCAAGTGTATAATGCTGTCGTTTTGTCAACTCTTTTGTATGGCCCTGAAACTTAGACACCTTATAAATGGCACATTAAACGATTAGATGTTTTCCATAAAGGTTGTCTCCATACAATCTGTGGCCTAACGTTTGATGATCAATTGTCAAATGCCGACTTTTTGAGAAATGCAAGATTGATACCATCGAGACCTACGTTGGGCTGTCCATGTGGCAAGGATGAGTGATGATCGCATACCAAAAGTTCTTTTCTACAGTGAACTCGATAGTGGTCATAGAAATGTTGGTAGACCTTGGCTCAGGTATAAGGATAAAGTGTAGAGCAACCTTTCTTGCGTCAACATTCCATTCAAGAACTATTGTTTGTGGTTTTTTGTGCAAATCTCGAGCCGGTTTCAAAAGTCATGCCCATCATAGACATGCAGATAATTAGTTCATGGTCGTCGGAACCTCATACATCAAACTCGATGGGATATACATATGTGTGTGTGTATGTAATATATATATATATGTGTGTGTGTAATATATATATATATATATATATATATATATATATATATATCCAGGTATGGGATAAGAACAAATGGAGTATAATTCGACTGTCTGTAGCATTTAATTTTTTTTTAAGTGCTCAATACAGAGTAGAACTTAATATTAAATATTATTTATTATATGAGATTAAAAGAAAGAAATGTTAAAAATCGCTACAGAATAGCTTTCATGTTTCAGCAGTCAAATTGTACCTCTGCAAATTTTTCCACTTTTTTTCTGACACCTCATTGGTTAATAAGGATAAGCCCACAGGGTTTAATTTAATTTTGATTTGTTGTTATCCGCTTTTAAAATTTTAAAATATTTTTCACTCGTCAGTTATATACCATCGCCTGAGGAGTCAAGATTTGAATTCTAAAACATGAAAGCTATTGTGCAGCGATTTTTAACATGTATTTGTTTTAATCTCATATAACACACAAACACACACACACACACACATATATATATATATATGTGTAGTGATGGCTGACCGAGTACGCCTGTCTACTAGGGTGGCTAGTCAGTCCCTATTGCAGATGCCTGCTCAGACACATATATGTTTGTACAACAGCCCACCTGTCATTTATACTGCAACTAAGTTGAGTGGACCTAAGTTACAGTTGCTGCGAGAGGCCACTTTATCTGGCATGATCAATACTCGGAGCAATGACTTGTGACTTCGTAGTAACATAACCAAATAGGTCCGTCTACCTAATTTCACATATTTCGTAGTATTGTTTTCATGCACTTTCCAAAGATGCTGCACGCTGTGATTGCCCCCCAGACCGACAACATCAAGTAGTTGCCTTCCTGTCAAATCGACTGTGGTGAGATTCGAACCCCACTCTCATGGTCGGAAAGCGAAAGTTCTAACCACTTGCTATATACAGTATCGACATCCTTATGCGCAGTTGAGTATTAATGTCATAATACATAGAATCAACTGCCGAAAGAATTCGTCAGTATCCCGGTTGATATAACATTTCATTAGAACTTCAGCTGAAGTGATATAATAAATCCATGATAAATCAATTCGGTGAAATGTATATATGTCTTGTTGACACCCCTGAGAAGTATAAGGCCACAGCTTCACCACACTAAGCATTGTTTCCAACCAGCGCTTGAAAGACTAGTCTACCCTGTTATTTAACCCCTAGATAGGTAGAAGAGATGAGTTCATATCTTTCAAAGATTTATTCGAAAAGCGAGCGCAACAGCCTCAGCTGGAATTTGAACTCGCCACGACAATCTCACTTTTCGCGTTGCACGCACATCAATAGCACGAAGACCCTCTGAGAAATCGCAGCAAAATTTGCGGTGTCACGCGAAATACAGTAGGTCTACTGTTATCTAATACGAATACCTACAGCGTCTTGTAAAATTACAAAATAACAAGCCGCAACTTCTTTCTCATTCAAGCTTAGACTAGCCAAAAGCTAATTTATTGTTCGCACAGTAAATCTTACCCCTTGAAATATCTCACGATTTAAAAAAAATGTTGAACAAACCATATGCAGGTGTCGCAGTAAATTGGCACGGATTTTGTCACTCACTACGTTATACTGTTTATACACTTGTGGTCAAGACTTGATGGTTGATTAGGTGAATAGGCAGCAATGACGTCTACGAATTCAACCTCTCGGCAACGTTAGTAATTCTCATTTCGACATTATTAGATTAGTATATTGCAACTATCGTTAACTTTATAAATATAACACATCAAACTTTAAAATCAACATTTTTACCAAATACTGTAAACAAAATTTCCATTTGTCGTGTCTATTTTGAGTTAATCTGCCAAACTTGAAAGAAAAAATCTTGGGTTTTTCAGTTTTAATCTTATCCTATTAAGCAAAATCTATAGTAGATAGATAGAGAGATAGAGAGAGAGAGAGAGAGAGAGAGAGAGATTAACTTTCTGAGATAGATAGATAGATTAGATAGATAGATAGATAGATAGATAGATAGATAGATAGATAGATAGATAGAGAGATTAACTTTCTGAGATAGATAGATAGAGAGAGAGAGAGAGATTAACTTTCTGAGATAGATAGATAGAGAGAGAGAGAGAGAGAGAGAGATTAACTTTCTGAGATAGATAGATAGATAGATAGATAGATAGATAGATAGATAGATAGATAGATAGATAGATAGATAGAGAGAGAGAGAGAGAGAGAGTGATGAACCTTCTGGGATAGATACAAAAATAGTTGATTTTCTAAAGTGGTTAATTTTATCCACATACAATCAACATAAAGTTCAGTCACTTTCCCGCCACTGTAACATCGCTTCCCTGTGAATTTTATATATATATTTCCATGACGATTTTTCTGACAAACTTTCCTCTATGGAAACTACACTTTAAACGCAGTACTAAATTGGTGGGGAGATTTCATCATTTTACGGTTGAAATGGTTAGATGTATCCGTAAGTTTTCTGCTAAATTTTTTTCTCGCAATTCTTGTTTGAGTAACTCTCTTCTAACTTTTTGCTTTCCAGTTAGTTTTGATCTTCAAAGATTTAAATGCAATCTTCTGTCTTCTTAATTCATCTTCTTTTATCGTTCTCTCTCCTTAATAATGTTTTCATTTTTGTTTTTTCTCTTATTCTCTCACATTCAGTAACTTTATTGCCTTGTTTGGAGTCAAATAACTAAAAAAAAGGCAGAGTAAATGTAATTCCAGTTCCAAGTAACGGTGCACATGTATATATCCTAATGTTGGACAACTTAAATATCCAGTTGATCTGCCTACCTTTTAAGCATTCAGATCCAGAAAAACATACAGTAACTGAATATTTAAAAAAATAACTTTTCTCTTTAAAATCTGATAGACCGATTAAAACTTGAGTAACCAGAAAAAGAAGCTCATTTCCAAAAATATTGATGAAATCAGCATTAAAAAACATTTAGCAATGTTTATTCAGATTAGTCGAATTCTGGATCAGAAAATAATTCAGTTAGGACAATACAGATTTGAAAAGAAATGCCGTATATGTGGGGGACAAGCAGTTACCATTTTTCAGGTCCTGCTTCAAAGTAAATCGGTAAAAATAAATAAACTTCTCATCAACTGGTAAATGAATTATAAAATGAAAAAAATACTATGTAACGGGTTTCCTCTTTCAAAAACACATTTTCAGATTAATAACACTGGCCAAAAAAATTTTTTCAAGTGGTGCAAGGGACATCATGGGTAATTTTAAACAATTTTATGGCACTGAATTCGAATATCATAGTCATTTTTCTCAGCTAGTTTTCAGATGATTGACAAAAACAAGGAAATTGCTTAAGTCATTTGTTTGAAAAGTGAAAAATGTACAGCTGTTCCATTGCAATGAAATAAAGTTTCAATAATGAGATAAGAAGAAATGTGCATCAAAACAAATATGTTAGATTAAATATGAAGTTAAAAATTAAAAAAAGAACAATCATAGTAAGAACTTCCGCGTTTTTGATTTTCGCGAATGATCAACAGTTTCGTCTTTCTTCAGGCACTAACAATATTCTGCCATCATTCTTTTAGCCCACCTACCTTGATAAATGCAGCACCAAGCTCCAGGTACATTGCTAACTATGCATTGACTAGTTCGCTATAGTTGTCTGTCTTGCGATTACCAAGAAAGCAATAAAATGAAATCCAGGTATTTGATTCGGCAGCATTCATGGAGTTGACGAAGTTGTCATCCTTGGTGAGTTTTCAATGCCAGGTCCGTCAAAAAATATCTTGTTTCACTTTTTCTATGCTGATACCATAAATTGCACTGGAAATGTACTGAAAATGATGGCCATCCTTGTCAAATGCTTTCATGTGTCCTAATTTGATATGGAGAGGAGGGAAGATAATTTTGTTTCTGGGGACTAGAGAATTATTTCTACTGTGACCGGTCATTCTCTTCTATCATCGTGTTGATCCTTGGCTCTGCTGTCCCATAAACAAAGGAAGCATAGGAACTTTGTGTTGCCTGATTGCGCCCAAGTAAAAAGTTAGTCATTCTAAGATCAACACAAATTACCCAGTGATAATCAAGGTAATTTGTTCTTTCCATTACTTCCTTGATGGGTTCATGCTTTTGTTTCGGCGTTGGGGAGTGTCGAATTGGTATCGTATACATTGGCGTTGTACAGTTTGAGTTATCAATGAATAGTGTCCATGAATTTGCATCAAGACGCAACAAAACCCATTCGACATCGTTAAATATACAAGTTCGTTGGTTGCGATAAAATGTAACTTTTTGTTCCTTTCTTAAGATTGTTTTCCTTCGGTCTTGAAGCTAAGAGATCTGATGATTTTTTTGATAAACTCAAATCTCCGATTAAGTTGCCCAGTTCTTCTTGATCAAACAGTATCGGTCCATATAGTAATGCTTCAAAATCATTGTCACCCATGTCAATGAAGTTATTCACATCGCCATGATCCGATTCTTTAAACTCACTAGACGTAAATTTTTTGAAGACAAGACTCGGAATTTCATCGGAGTATGGTAGAGGTCTGGTAGCTGAATTGAGAGAAGGATAGTTCACAGGTTTTTGTTTTAATCATTGATCTGAGAAAGCGGTTGTATACAGCTGACAGTTTTGACATTTTTTTTAACTAGTTTGGTGCCAGGCATGACATCCATATGAAAGTCTCGATCTGACGAGGCTATTTAAAAACATGACACAAGTTCTTAAATTAGTTTGGATTTTGTAGCAATTTGCGGTTTTAGGCAAAACTACCTCAGCGTAGCTTATTCTATATTCAATTTCTTTATTTCTTATATTAAATTGGTTAAGTTTTCCAAATTATCATTTATATATTTACCATAGAATTTATGAGCAAGATTATCTCTTTTGTGAGTTTATGGCCCACATATATTTCGTCCTTTTCTTTCAAAATTACTCTTCTGAAAACTTTTTATTTCGGTAACTTATTTACTTATCTATATTTTACTAGTGTTTCGTTGATTTCAGTTTAAGCGTTATTAAGAGATATCTGTTTTATCGATGGATAACCGATTGATCTTATAGATTATGACATTAGTTAAATAGAGTTACTCAGAGAATTTCGTCATTAAGCATCCTAGATATATGTAGCTGCCAGTAACTTTATGTAGATTACATAATAGATTGTTCGAATGATCGATAAAAGACAAAATCTTGCCCGAATATCCGAAGCTGGGCAATATATGCATAAGGAAGCTATAGAGGACAAAATGAAAGACACTCAATACGCAGCAAATACCAAGATTTTCATTGCATCAACATTTTCGCTTTGATATCAAGCTCAGATAAAAACTCTCGTGTATAATTAACAAAACAATAAGGAAGAAAGACGAAGTACGAGTAATCTTTCAAACTTTTTATGCGCTTTTCCCAACGCCCAATGTTTGATTATTTCAATTGAATCCAGCTGTCACGCTGAATCCCTTAAAACTCAATCAACGAAGCCTATTTACTTTGACTTGCTTTCTCCATCATCTTATTTTTTTTTCAGTTCTTCATTGATTGAAAAATACATAACTTGATATTTTATGCGCCGGCTACAATCAAAATTTCAGATTTTCTTTATTTTCTTTTTCGTTTTTTGTCTTGTATTAATATTTAATGATCTTCGATTATGTTTGAACCTGTCAATGGTATGAGAAGATCTTGTAACGTTTCTCAGTGGATATCGATTATTCAATATTTCAATGAATGAATTAGGAATTATATTTTATAGTACATCAACTATTATATAATGGTCATGTAATTCAAAATAAATTTAGACTCATTTTCATAGTCTTTCATTTAATTAATTATAACTGAGATTTTGAATTGACACATCGACTTCTATATCATGGTCATATAAAGCTTACTAATTTTATCATTTTAATAGATACTTATTTTCTTTATATTATATAACCAATATTTTTTGCTATATATTAACGATTTACCCAAGAACATTCTCGGATCATATGCAGTCAATACGATGATTTATAGGAGCACCAGCCAAAATCTAGATGACCCGAACCTGGCAGCTGATCTCTTCACTGATCTTGCTCGTACAGCTCTTTGGGAGACGGGGACGGGCTTATAACCTTCAATACCTCCAAAACTAAACTAGTAACGTTTAATCATCACAGAGCAAATCCGGGTTTTACGAACAGTTGTACTCTGAATAAGACCACCAGAATTCAAGTGAACTCGGATATACGATCCATCGCTAAAGACACTGGTAAAATGGTTGGCTCCTTATACCACTCCAGAAAGTAGCTGATTTCAAGATTTTACAAGAGCCAGATCAGACCAAAAATGCACTATTACTGCCACATCTGGGACGGAGCTGACAATTCCTCACTTTCCAGTTTCGACCGAGTTCAAGAACATTTGTGCGGCCTTGTGGGTGATGAATTGTTTCTCCCACCTATACGGCCTTACAACTTCACTGTTTAGTAACTCTCTACCTTGAGTGGCACTTCGGCTTTGTATTGGGTGAACAATAGTAAAAGTAAGACATAGATAGATAGATAGATAGATAGATAGATAGATAGATAGATAGATAGATAGATAGATATGAACAGAATGAATAGATAGATAGATAGATAGATAGATAGATAGATAGATAGAGATAGATAGATAAAAGATATGAACAGAATGAGATAGATAGATAGATAGATAGATAGATAGATAGATATGAACAGAATGAGATAGATAGATAGATAGATAGATAGATAGATAGAAGTAGAAAGCCGGAAATTATAAATTGCTCTCTTCAAGTAATTAGTCAAAAGAAACTAATTAAAATCAATTATCAAAATGAATTATTTATCGCCTCGCATAAATGATTCATTGGTAATCCATGAAGAGTTTTAACAGTTAAACTAACAGAACAAAATAATATTAGTGGAAAAGTTTATTTTTCTGATTTAACTTGTTTTTAATGGGCACCAGAACGCTTTATCAAATAAGAGAAAAATTAAAAGAACAGCGATTACGGCGGTAACAATTCTTTTCAAAGTCAACAATAATATTTCGCAAAGATATTTCCTTGAGATTAACATCTCCAACTAAGATGAATGTTATACTTTGCTAATCGAGTTGTGCGTGAGTGTCTATGGCAGCCACTTCAACGGAGAGAAACTCTGAATAGCTATTTCATGATTTTTGAATAGGACTGTCGTCGTCTCAAATTGGACAGTCTGCCTATCGTGCAAAGGCAGATAAACACGCGATCTTCGCTATGGAAATCTTCAGTTGCCATGTTTCAACAACATTAACGAAAAATATCGGAAGCAGTGTGGAAGGAACGACCCAGCCTCACCTTACGTCATTAGAAAAGTCAGTGTCGTGTCTGATTAGGTCAAATTCTACTTCATGGAACTGAGGAATCATAGCCAGGAACGTTTTAGACAGTTTTTCCTGGAACCTCTAAAATTTCACTTTACTCACAGAGATTTTCGCTTTGTTGAAATTTACACTGGTGGTATATTGACTCCGACATTTTTCTTAGGCTTGCCACTAAGCAAAAAACTTTTTGTTGGTGACCATGACTAGGTCTAAAATCAAGTTGAGTCATAGGAAGTTGGTTGTCGGCAAGAATAAGTACAAGTAAACTGTGATTAGTACTGTTTAACTAAGCTAGTCATACTAGAATGTATTATATATAAATTTTATATTAATCAATGAAAATATATAGTCGAAATATTTATACACGAGTTATTTATTTTTGTCTATTAATTTAACGTAACAGAAAAAGAGAAAGAAAATATATTTCCGATCCGAGTTTATTTTTAAGTATTAAACTACATCACAACAGTTACCGAAAGGAAGAATTTAAAATAAAAATGTATTTCTGTCTGAATTCTGGATGAGCTATTTGAATTATTTGTATTCGGATAATATACTCATTTTTGTTGTCATTATCGCAGAGTTTCGACGGCAAATTTCAGGGAATTTTAAACTGAGACTTTTATTTAATATACAGACGTACTTCTGCTTTCAATAAACCTGGAGTAACCACTGGTTAACCCTGGTTTTCGTTCATAATACCACATCCTGTTTCTACGAAATCCCAAACTCAGGGATTGAACTAACAATTACTATGCCACCAAATTTACAAAACAACGCTTTAATCCACTAGGCTAGTGTCACGTGGGACAATCGGGAACTTAGAAGGGAATTTTAAACGTAATGTTCTTACTGCCTGCCTGCTGCTCATACTGACGTTATTGCTAGCAAGCTTGATCTCTTTCACCGCTTCTTCTTCTCTTTTCTTATTGCTGTTGCTACTTATGCCTTGCTACCATTTGCTTTTCTATATTAATGGCTCCCATGTGGGATTTATTTCTATGCTGGGCCTACTAAGGAGGCCGTCATAGTCTACAAATAATGCACTGATTCTCCAGTGTCTAGTACTTCATTCTACAAAAGCTGATGACTACCGTTTTTCTTCCATACATTTATCATTACCATTATTTATTGAATGATTTAACGATAATACAACCTTTTTATTGAATGGCTGCTCTGCTAAGAGAAATTTGATTTTAGTTGCAATCTTCATTTCAAACAGAAAGGCATTAGACTTCTGTCATTGAGAGATTTTTTTATTCTTTGTATTAGGTGTAGACATAAATAAGTTCAATTTTTTATCAACTTTATTTGTCGAAAAATAAAGTGCAATGTTTTGAGTAAAGTTTTGATGTGAAAAGCTGCACACTCTCGAATCTAATAATAATCGGTCAAGTGAACAGACCCACCAAGTTCCATAACTTTTTCTTGCTTGCGTTACTATGGAGGAGAATAACATATTTCCTTTTCACAAACGTGTGACGCTTATCGACCAAACTGTTATAGACACGTTGCAGCTGCTTGACATATAAAAGGGCATTTAATGTTTTATTGCGGTTTAAGAACTTTGAGAATTCTAAATAAATAATACCCCGGGAATCCCACCACACGCACAATATTACCTGTCTTCTACGAAGCTCAAATCTTGTGGTTGTTCGTGAAGATTTAGTCTTTTGCGTTGAACATTGTCGTATGCAACCAATTTTTGATCACCTGTTATGTTATATTTAAGGGATGATTAGTTAGGATGATGCATTTGGCATTACTAATGCTTCCCCATATGGAAAATTACTTATGGTTCAACCTAAGAATTGGCTGCAAACAATAAAAATCCACTGCAACTTGGCCCCTTTTCTTTTCTTTTATTTGAGTCCCTCTTATTTTGTATCCTATTTTCATCTATTCTGATTTCTCACCTTTTTTAAAGTCAATCAGAGCAGGATTTCTTTATTTCGCATAAATCACTTCTGGAAAGCATCTGTTTCTAGAACAGTCCTATTTCACGCTCATTAAGAATATGTACAGACACACTATATATATATATATATATATATATATATATATATATATATATATATATATATATATAAGAGAGAGTGAAAGAGAGAGATAGAAAAATACGACAAACTGGAAAGGATTTTTGTGACGGTTTCATCTGCCACAAAAAACCTTTACAGTTTCTCCTATTTTTTTCTGAGTACTGTTTGATGAAATACAAAATTATACAAATGGTTATATATATATATATATATATATATATATATATATATATATATATATATATATACGAGTTACTGATATCAACAACTACTAACTAAAGGAGAAATAAAAAAGTGATATTGTTGATAATAATGCAATGGAAAGGAATGAAAACAGAAAATACAGAGATTAGCGGCAAGGCTGATGGGAAATAGAAAGAAAGTAAAGTTGGAAATTCTACCTGGATTCAGCATTGGCGGCCACAATGCAATTTGCAGATCTGGAACACTAAAATCAAGCATGTACGGAGGTTTAAATATCTGGGAAGTGTTTTGAAAGACGGTAGGTGAGATCCGAAGACGGATTGGAATGGCCAAGGTTGCATTCCAAAATTTGAGCAGAGTACTGCAAGGAAGGGGGATTTCTTTGGTGAAAAAGAAAAGAGTACTGTGCTGCTACGTTACATCTGTTCTCCTATACGATCTCCTCAAAGATGAAGAAGAAACTCGAGGCAGCGGAGATGTGGTTTTACAGAAGGATGCTAAGGATATCATGGAGCGAGCGTGTGAACAACATATAAAATGATATAAATCATATCAACAATAAATTGAATGGTAATAATAATAATAATAATAATTTACTAATCGATATACAATAAATGGAAGTTCTTAATAAATGGAGAAGATGCAAACAAGGAAGAAGCTTATACTTAACATAAGGAAGAGGAAGATGACATTTCTGGGACAGGTAATCAGAAAGGAAGGCTTGGAGAATCTGATACTCACAGGTCGAATAGAGGGAAAAAGCGACAAGGCAAAGCAATGCATGACATACCTGGAGGAGGGGCTTAAGTAAGTGGATGGCAGAACGTGGTCTGAGGGAGTTGACAGAAGCGCAAAACATATTGAGAGCCACAAGAGATAGAGCGAAGTAGATAGCCATGATCACCTACGTCCTGAAAGGACACGGCACAAAGAAAAAGAAAAATGCGTAAGACAATGCGAAAAAAGTAAAGTTATTGAAGAAGAAAGAGAGAAAATCGGAAATAGGGAGATGAGAAAACTATTGACGCTAGAAAGGGGCAAAAATGAAAAAAAGGAAAGGAAAAAGATTAAGCGACAGACATGGACAAATATTTAGGAAAACAAGGGTAGACAAGTCAGGGAAAAAATGAATAATAATAATAATAATAATAATAATAATAATAATAATGATAATAGTGTTGAAACAGCGTAATATTGCATTCGAAACAACCTAATTGCTATGGCATATCCCTCTTCCTGTATAGTAGTAAGTGTTGGACAATTTCTTCGCAGATGAAGAAGAGACTCGAAGAGACAGATGTGGTTCTGTAGACGGAAGCTGAAAATATCGGGGACAAATACGAGAGCAAAATTGAAACCAGAAAGAGACAGGTGGAATTTCTAGGACACATTATGAGGAAGGGCGGCTGGGAAAACTTAATCCTCATAGGACGTACTGATGGAAGGACCGGTAGAGGGAATCACCAAGCAGCTTATATAATAAGTTTGTGTGAGTGGATGGCAGAGCTGTGACAAGAAAGGATAGTAGAGTTAAACTTTGTTTAAAGGATAGGAATTTAATGAGAACTATGATTTTCTACGAAAGGATACGTCACGTAAATGATGATGCACACATTAAGACATAGAGACATGTCCATTTATCTAACTAAACTAGAATATATTTTCCTCTATAAAATGATCTCAAAAATTAACGGAACTTTTCTATTAAGCGCCATCATATAGGAGACATAAAAGCAAAAATACCAATACTCCGATCTATCATTGAAATATATTGTTTCTTTCACATTTCTTTAGCGGCTATCACACTTATTTCGGTTTTATAGACCTATTTACACCTATTACTCTACATTAGCTTCTTAGAAAGCTCGGTATATTATCATATATCGTAATGTTTTGATCTAAATCTATACATCGTCTACAACAGTAAAAATACAAAAGATGAAATTAAGAATGCTTTGTTGATAATAGTCAATTAACAAACAACAGATGCTGTTGGCTTTCTTAATGTTAAGATTTCTGTTTCAGTAAATGAAGTATTTTCCCATTTATAGCAGTCGATATTAGGACAAAATAAATAGAGGAAATCATTTCATTTCTTAATGTTCTGAAGAGGACGTGAAAATATATAAAATATTAATAAATTTAACTTTAAGAGGTTACTTTTGCATAAAGTGCAAGGAAGGGGTTATTGAAGAAATCTCTCAAGACAGAGAACGTGAATTGTACCGAGTGTCCATTGATTGTAGAAAGCTGAAAAGCAATACACACACATATATATATATAATTAAAATTTACTGATTCCATATATTTTCAAGTATTTTTCGTATTTATCGATGTACACGTTACTTAACTTTTGTACTCCTACGTACCTAATACAAGCGGGTGTTAATAATTGGGGGGGGCAGATTTTATCTCGATATACAATAAATGGAAGTTCTTAATAAAATGGCGATCGGAAACAAACATTCAAAGGAAAAAAAATTGCGAAAATAATAAACGAAGTGGTTTTAATAAGCTCGCGGGGATTGAAAACTTTTGTAACAAATAATAAGTACGATCATCGAAGTTAAGCAACGTCGAGACTGATGCGTGATAACTTGGGAATATCAAGTGCTGTAAGCTTAGCTAAGTGATAACGGCTTAGCTTAGTGATAACGGCTCGAAATTGGAGAATTGAGTTCCAGTTCCAGTTGGATTCATCATATTCACTTACGCACTATTTGCGAAAGGGAATGAATCATGGTATGGATCCACCTCTTTCCTCCCCAACTATGGGTTAATTAGTAGAATATATATCAGTAAATCATTATAATCTCAACAAAAAAAAAATATTTAAAATCTAAAAATATTTTCTGGCTTTAAATAGCCGTAAAAAATCAATCTAATTTCGACCGAAGGTTCATGTGGTGGAGCTCCAGTCTAGCTTTTTCAAATGTTAACTTCTCCGAGTTCTGTAAATTATTTTATGAATGTGTATAAATATGTTGGATAAGTGTCATGGGACGTTCCTATGTGTGCTTCGTAAGGTGAGTTTTTTTTCGATTCATGTTAGTAAAAAAACACTTTTTTAATGGGGCAATCTGAGTAGTTTTTATAAAAAAAAAAAAAAGAAAGTCAAGCAGACAGAAATAAATCTCGATATCTAAATGTAAATTCTCTTATTACTTTCCATCAGGTGTAAACTGAAAAAGAAATTTAGATAAATACAAAGCCTTATGTGTTTGTTCACTTTTGTTCCGGTCAAATGAACTGGATCTAATCAATACAATGGAATCTGACCCAAATCACCAGAAATATAATCTAAGAAAGGAAATCTACTTCTCATGACATTCAGATTCTCCCCTGGCAAACCGATACTACGCCACCTGAACAAACTTTCACACAGACATTAAAAATCAAACAGGTACGACTGAATTCGTGAGTTACAATGTGACCTCTTCACATAAGAGGAATTAATCCTTGGTCAGGGGAAGATCCTGATCAGATAACAATGTATGGTGAGGTAATTCTATTATGCTTTTTACCAGTGGTGATACCTTGCTTTGCTCATATTCAACGGATTTTTACTCTTGCGAAACGTATCTTCTTCAGTGGTAAGTTGTTGATTTTTCAACTAGTAAATATTCGTTGAACTAAACTTTAGTATTTGTAGCACCTAGAACGAACCAAACAAGCTAACATAGGTACCTCCACGAAATCGCTAAAAAAAGAGCATAGCTTGATGAAAAAGACGCCAACCTTGCCGAAAACAAAATTTTATTGTCTAAATGCTTATGTTATTATTTAGAGGAAAGACCAAAGTTTTTTTTAATTATTTTTAAAAAATTTTCCTTCTTTTTAGAAAATTCTATATTTTGATTAAAAAAACCTTGTTTCTATTTGTATCAGCGGAACTAAACGTGCTAAAAATTGTCTATGTTATTTATAACATAGACAATTTTTAGCACGTTTTTTTGGTATGACACACATTAATTTGAAAAATCGTGCAAAAATAGAAATAATTATCGGATGTTAATGAAACTTTCAGGAATTATTCACAGATGATCGAAATTATTATAAATATGTTTTTTTTTATGAAAGTCATGGTAGAAATATTTTTTTTAAAATATTTATTACCCCCCCATAACTAATTTTATGAAAACGCTAGAAATTCGATCGCATCGGTTTTAGTGATTACAATAATTAAAAGCACAGGGCTTTGAGGAATGCAAATCATGTTTTTTTTTGTTTTTAATTGGATACCCAGTACCTGAAAATCAGCTCTGAATTGTAACATACAAAACTCAATAAAACAAAGATATTATTTAATTTCAAATGCTTTTTATTTGCTTTTTTTAGTTGTTTTTTATGAATATGGACAATATTTTCTGAAAGCAAAAAAATTTTTTCGATGAAAAATGAATTTTTAATACAATTATTTGTTATTTCATTAATTATAATACATTTTACATTTAAGTTGTTAAAATATTATAAAATTAGTTAAAAAGCCGCACAGGCTTTCATTAGTGTCCTTATGAGATAGATCTTTTTTTTAGTGCGTTGTAAATTGTATCATTTTGACTAATCAGAAGATCCCCAGTAATTAAGAAATGTAATTTTGTGCTTATAATCGAGCTGTAATTATAAAATACGGAAGACCAACCAAAATATAATTAAGTTGCGTTATTTGAGTTAAGCATTGTTCTCCGCTGTTAAGGCCTTTACTTTTTGCAGAAACACTTGTGGAGAAGTTAATTTGACTTTTCAATTTCAACTGAGAAGGTTACCTACAAGTATCAGTATCATCTTATGAAATTTATATGATCTTATTTTTATATTAATCTCAGTTACGACATTTTTCCATAAATGAAATATCAAAATTAATAATAAAATGAATGCAAATACAAATAACAGTAGAATGTAATAAATGTACATAAAATTATAGTATTTTATGTACAATTCTGATAAAATTTCATAAGAAAGGTACCTATAAATTAATTAGATACCTTTCTTAAGAAATATGAAATTTAATGTCACTCTTAAGTTTTATTTTAATTTCTTTACAATATATTTCCCATAAAGCATCATAAACGTAAAGGTGAAAGCTAAGTACAAAAAAAAAAAAAATTAGACCGCTGAAAGTTTTCGTTAAAAATAACGAGGTAAATAATTTGTTCACGTAAATGTAAATTATTTCACTTTTCTCCTTCCGTAGAACAAATTAGCCTCATGGAATTCGTAAATATATCATTCATCACATGTAAAAGAGACGCGAAAGTTTATGACCTGCTTTGTTTTATTTTTCAAATTACATCTTTTTGGCACAAAAAGCTAAGTTAAGTTTGGTTCAAAATATTTTAAATAAACATTATAATTTCTGATTTTCTTAAAATAAGTTTTGAAAAATGATAATTGATATTTAAAAAATTTCAAAGTCAGATTTCCAGTTTTTTTTAAAATGGAAAAAAATGGTCAATTTTGCTGACTCAAAAAAAAAAAACTAGATTTTTAACGAAAATTTCGGACGTGCTAGGAACGATTAAAAATGGAAAAAAATACCCCCAAAAATACTTTGACCTTTCCTCTTAATAATAACAAACATTTAGACGATAAAATTTTGTTTTCGTCAAGTTTGGCGTCTTTTTCATCATGCTATGCTCTTTTTTTAGCGATCTCGTGGAGGTACCTACATTAACTTCCAGACTAATCACTTTGTAGCGGACTTAAAATTGCCGGGAGTACATCGCAAGCCTATTCTATCGCTATTTCCATGGCAAATGTTCTGATTAGCTACATTCCTTAATTCTATCAGTTCTGACCTTCACAGCTAAGACCCGCCATACCACATACACTGCGACAAACCATCCTCATTCTCTTCGTATTCCATGAATAAGAAAGAACTTTCAATCGGACAGCTTCTTTCAAAGAAACACTCGGGACAGACAGCCGATGGGACCTTTTCCTAATCACGACACTCTTGACTTCTTCAAATCTAAAGTTAACCGTTCTCTCTACTACATAACATCATAAACTGCATTTCGTACTTCCTCCCTTTATGTTCATAAAACAAAATCATCCAGTAACCCTCTACCCTCGGTGACTTTTGCACCTTGAAACATTAGCAAAAGAAATTCTACATTTTAAAGCCATGTCTTTTTTACTGTTGATAGCATTTCGGTGAATCAAATAATAGCAAATACTTGATACTCGATTGCAAGTAAATTACCATTTTCCGTTGTTTTATAGGATAGACGTTTTCGTTTTCTTGGCTTTGAACATTAGATTTTGCAATTATACGATGACTGATTGGGGTCAGAAAAACAATGTGAGAGGCATTAAAATTTAGGCCTGTTTAATAGATTGATTTGTGGTGGGAGGCGTCCAGTTAAAACACATTATCACGATTTGTAAATATTAATTCGGTGGATAAATATTATATCATAAAAACACATTATTTAACATCTTTTTGTTTGTTTTCACTGAATACTTAACGATTTTCTGTATGATAGAAGTGGTATATATTTTGAACTGATTTCAGTAATTTAAGCCACGTGTTTTTAGATTAAATGCCTAAGTTTTATTCTGGACTATTTTTTATTATATTTCCATTTGGACATTTCGCTTAATTCTTTTATTGATTCATCGTTTAATTTTATTATTTTTTTCTATAAATCTTGTAATTATTCAAGTGACTACTCAAATAAAATATTACCTTCAAATAACAAAATAAGGCTAGAAAATTAAAAAAAACACTTTTTTCACCTTATCTTATTCAATTTAGTTATTATAAACATACTGGACAAAAAAAAGATTCTCCACTAATATTAAACATAACTGCGAAACTTGGTAATGTTTTTTTTCTATTGCTTGGCATCTAAAAAAGACAAAATTTGAATTCGTGAAAACTACTACTTGATAAATTTAAAAATTATAATTAAAAACTCAACAAAAATGAAAATGGTTTTCAGCTAAAATTAATTTGTTTGGAAATCCATTTTATAAATCTTCCGAATGCTGAAAACAATAGTCATTAATCTACAGGGTGGTCCGAACGTTTTGTCACCCCTAGATAATATAATTTTCTATTTCAAATGGCTGACACGAGCTCCTACAGTTTGGGAGAGCTTTTCGATGTGTGACAGCGTCAATGAAAGTGAATAAACTGAACCCAGTACATACGATTTGTATTACTTGTTCTTCTACTGTTCTTATTACTTTTTGGTATGGGGGTGACAAGATTTTCGGACCACCCTGTAGTTTGATTTGGAATACCCTCAAAATATTGACAGAAATATTGTTTTGGTAGTTCTATTAACGAGTAGATAATCCTATTTGTTCGTTTTCTTTTCATATTTTGATTTGAGCAAATACTTCTTGTTTGTCTTTTACAATATATAAAATTCATTTTCACATTTCATTTAATTTTGCGTTTTATTTTTATCTCGATATCTGGGAACTACTTAAGTTAGGCATCTAAAGTTATTCACCAAATAAAGTGTTCTAAAAATATTATTCAAAATAACAAAAGTGAATCTCGATTGAAAATTTGTTTAGAGATTATAAGATGCAACGTGATATTTTTCAGTTATGTATATATTAAAGAAAATTGTTTCGGTACGGGTAATGTCTAACTTTCGTACCCGAAAAATAAAACATTGTGTCAAAAGGACGATTTTCCCTTGACACCGCTATTGTTTTAACTACATTCACTCTACGGTAATGTTTTTAAAAGCGGTGATTATAATTTTAATAAAACCAGAATGCGCTTAAAATTGAAATCTATCATTGAAATGTTAAAAAATGTTGCAATTTAAGGAACTAAAACCGTTTTACTTCGATTAACACTATTATATCCGTCGTTTAAAGTTAAGAAACATTATTATTTTACTCAAATAATACGAGATGATATTTATCCCAATCAAAATAACCGGTAGGCAGACACAGATACAATCTTCGGTGAACGACAAGTAAGAAAAAATTGTTAAGAAATAATAGCTTCCCACTCACCAACTTACCAAAGTTGATAATTATTTTAAAAATAAACCTACATAATTTTTGTCACGTGATATGAAAAATAAGAAACAAGTCTAGGCTATTTGTCCTATTGTTTCTAAACAGTGGGTGACGTGACCCTCTAGCGAGTGTGGACATCATTTAAATAGAACTGCAATTTAAAACAAGTTTTCCTCTTAATTATTGTAATTCGCATTACACTTAAATTTTTCCCTTGTAGAATTGTTTAAAATGAATACGCATTAATTATATAATCAACAGAGAGAAAATTAACTCATGATAATGACCTTTAAGTCATTAAAATGTCCAAAAGCAAAGAATATTCCAGAGTTGAAACAATACTCGGCAAATAATTTTCAAGTAATGTACTGTTTATTAACTACTCTTATGTTGAAGCCACAAGTCATCGTGACCGAGTGCTTCAATGTACTGGCCTTGTTCAACTACTGATCTCGTCGGATTATGTATTCTTTCTCAGAAACTGTAACTAATATTCGCTCAGCATTGTTGCAGTATAGACCAATGATTGGCTCTATAGTTGTTGAACAACCACAAAGGTACCGGAGCAGTCGTTTGCAACAGGGATTAGTCAACCTAACAAACGGACATATTTGGAAATGTACGACCAACCAGACTCTCTTACATTGACAGAATTTTACGTAGACAATCGGAAAATAAAATGGTTCGCTTCAGAACTGAAGCAAATAAAGGATTGTACTGTATATTTTTTAAATACGTGAATACATTGCTTATATGCGGATAAGAGAGGTTTTGGTGCTAATCTTTGAAGTAAGAAACACCCATTTCCAAAATTATCCTTCAGAATTTTGTCATTGGACTTCAACTTCTGACACTAAAGGGAACACACTATCATCTAAGTCAATATGTAGGTTAATATTGATAAGTAGTTAGATGCTAATATGGCTTAACTATCACTTATTTTTAGAGACATATGACTACAATGGAAGGACTAATTCTCTGTCATTCTCTGTTTTGAAAGTCAAAACTTAAATCCGAGCGTCTATGTCAGACAAACAACTGGAGACTAAAATCACAATAGATTTTCTTTACCTAACAAGCAAATTCGTAGCCTAATCATTAACATTACATTTCTTTCACAAAAATGTATATTAATTAACATAATCTACTTCATTGCCAATGCACTTAACCCAACGTTTCTCCATTAATCACATAAACTGTGGATAATAGGACGACAATTTCAGATCAAAATTCAGTCAGAAAAATTAACATAACCCCTTACACACACACACACACACACACACACACACACACACAAAGTTAGTGACTGCTAACTAATATAAAATGTTTAGTAAAAGTGCTCAATGTGATACTATTTGTTGTTACCACGGTAAAATAAAACCTAAGAAAGTTTTCTTATCAATAGAAAGTATTATGTGCTGAGAGACATTGAAACAAGAAGGGTTAATACCAAAAACCCGTGGGAAGAATTGAGGATTTTATTCTTCAATTGTATGTCGAGCAGTTTAAACAATGGAAAAGTGACCCAGACTTAAGGGGCAATGTTGATTGACACACAGCTGCTAACGCAAACTGTAAAGCGAAAATTTCATTTTTTGTAAACAACGAATTTGGAGTTGATCCTTCTGGTCTGGTTGAGTTGAAATACCAGGATGGAGTGGATAAGCCACCCACGCTTACTGAGGAGATTTAGTGAGAGGTAATAATATGAGAGAGGGAATTCCACAAAGTTATGACGTAAGTCAGAGGGGATTCACCGAAATGCTCCTACATCGCCATACCTCCCCCCTATGCCAGTTTGGGCGAATATCCATAAATACGAATGCGCGAAGCGAATTCAGTAGAAGAGAGAAGAAAGGCAAAAGAGACGGAGACCAGACCAGACCAGACCAGAGGCAAGAGAGAGACCCACATCATTATCTGCCGACGAAAGCCTCCGATTTCAGCCTTGTGCCGAACTTTACCAAAATAGCAACTCAAAGTTTACCAGATCGACAACAATATCACTTCCGATTTAGACGCAAGTTGAGCCGAAAATTAATTGCATACCAACTCTGATATAACCATTTTTTCTCTGTAAGTCATCGCCGTGCTTGAACCAGCCCAACACGAAGATACCTGTGACGATTCGATCTTGGCTGCCTTATGATCAAACTTAAATCGCAACATGGGATAAGGTTACCTCTGGATTAAAGCGGTCACTTCAGCGACCAGATACAGTGTTGGAAGTCTTGGACGACCGGTGAGGGTGTTGTGCGATTACATTTGTTGCTGTGACCAAGGATCGACCCTGACAATACTGAGAAGAGCTGAAATAAACATACACATTATAAAATATAAATACTTTAGTAACTTAAGTTTCATCGTTTCGCTCTCCTGAGCGGAACGATCAAATTTATATTGTTATAGTTATAAATTGCTCGTACTTCCGCCTTTAATTATGTAGTTAACGTCAATTTCAGATATGAACGGAATTTGTGTATATATATATATATATATATATATATATATATATATATATATATATGCACATGTTTCATTAAAGACGGCAGACAAGGTACTACGATTTAGCTTTTTATTTAATTTTTCTTGTGTTCGAACAAGTGTTTTTTTTTTCTGTAGAAACTGTCCAAATGCTCTGTAATTACGAGCGCTTTCGGCTATACCTTTTAGCCATAATCACGGATCATTTTATTTTTACTTTTTAACTGGATGTATGGGTTGTGTGTATGCTTCTAATCTTATAGGGATGCTTTATTTTCCTAACACCTTCAGCACATTGTGGTCGTGTTCGTAGTTATTATTGACTGTTGGATTTTTCTTTTTTTATTATTAAGGCCTCCATTATTTTTAATCTTTTTACATGTGGATGAGGTTATGCTACTAGTATATTTCGGATGGAGTCTGGTAAGTTTGCGTCTGTGTGTATGTTTAAATGGGTTCTGATGGAGCTGTAACCGGATACATGTAACGTAAGTCGTCTTGATAGGCATGTAGTAGTGTGACTGGTGTAATTATTTATGAATTCGGTTTGATCAGGAACACAGTTCCTTAAGGGGCGTATGAACTCGTAAATAATGTTCATTCTTTGTATTTTTGATTTTGTAGGTTTGTTGTTATTTTTGAAGATAAGGTTAGCTGTTTTAAATTTTTTGAAGTAGATAATTATTTTTTTCAGGTCAACTGGGGTAGTGTATTTCTTTATGATGTTTCTAAGTGAAGATTTATCTTGTTTATAGTTGTGCAGTTGGCTTTTGTAGAAAATATTTGTTATTTTTGTCTGTGTGTTCACTGTCGTTATTATTTACTTTGGAAAGAAATAGGCTAATATGGTGGTTAGGAAAACCATTGTTAACTAGTGTCTGTTTTGCATTGTTGAGTTCTTTAAAGAAAAGTCGATGAGAGGATGGATTTTCGTATACTCGCTTTAGGAAGTTTTTTTATCACTGCTATTTTGTATCTGAGTGGGCATTCAATCTTAAAACTAAGGTAGCAAGAGTGTAAGTTTTTATACAATGAGGTGGTAAAAGTGCTATTATTGTATTCTACGAGAACGCCTAAGAATGGGAGTTTATTTTTTGATTAAGTTCGTAGGTAAAGTTAAGGACAGTTTTTTTTTCAAATGTGGTTTTGAGGATATCTATTTCTTTTGTGTTTTTCGCTAAAATAAAAATATCATCTGCTTAGCGGACATATATTTTTGTTTTACAGCCCTGTTTAAATATCATGTTTTCTACATGGGACATGTAATAATTGGAGAAACATGGGCAGAACGGATTTCCCATACTAATACTATTAGGTTGGGTGTAAATGTTACTATTATGGTTGTAGAAGGGAACTTTGGTTGTGCATGCATGTAATAATATTCTGAGGATATTTGGTTTGATGGATGGAGGTGAGATAGAATTATTTGTGTACACGGAATTGAGGATAAAGGTTTGATCGGCGGGGACGTTTATGAATAAATTTTCAACATAAAGTGACGCTAAAATACCTTATATTGATTTTGTACTTTTTAGAATATGGAGGAATTCGTGGGTGGATGACGCTGTAATTGGTAGGTAATGCTGTTATTAAGGAATTTTGATAGGTGAGTAATGCTGTTATTAAGGAATTTTGATAGGTGAGTAATGCTGTTATTAAGGAATTTTGATAGGTGAGTAATGCTGTTATTAAGGAATTTTGATAGGTGAGTAATGCTGTTATTAAGGAATTTTGATAGGTGAGTAATGCTGTTATTAAGGAATTTTGATAGGTGAGTAATGCTGTTATTAAGGAATTTTGATAGCTTGTAGATAGGGGATGAGATCTGAGAAATGCGGGTATCCGGATTTGTGTTTTCTTATATTTCCATATAAGTATCTGGGTTGGTAGTCTCCAATGATTATTTTTTTTTATTTTCAGCGAACCGACGTCGGTGTTATTCGATGGTATTAAAAATGTTAATAAAACATGTATAAATGAGGGATTGCTGCCAAAATACACAATTATATATATATGTGTGTGTGTGTGTGTGTGTGTGTGTGTGTGTGTGTGTGTGTGTCTCCAGGAAATCGCTAAAAAATCAGCATACCGTTATGAAAACATTCTTCAAACGTAATGAAAACGTAGTTTTATCGTCAAAATTTTTGCTATTATTAAAAGGAATAATCAAAGTAATTTTGGAATATTTAATGAGATTTTTACTCCTTTTTAGAAAATTGGAAATTTTGATTAAAAACCTTGCTTTTCTTCCGCCAGCGGATCTACTAACTTTTAGCATAGCAATTTTTTTTTGCGGTGACAGACACATTAAATTGGAAATTCTTACAAAAATCAAATAATTGTAGGATTTTAATGAAATTTTCAGGACTCATTCACAAATGAATGAAATTATTTTTAAAATTTTCTTTTTAGAAAATCTTAGTAAAATATTTTTTTACATGTGTTTCACCTCCTTACTTAATTTTATGAAAACTTGAGAAATTCAACGTGATAATTTTTAGTGACTATATTAGTTAATTGTAAAAAACAAATCGGTGATTTAAATTCTTGGAAGAATTTAAATCACCGATTTGTTTTTTACAAAATTGGACCCCGTCTTACCGAAAATGTGTTCTGAATCGAAAAATAAAAAATGCAATAAAACTAAGACATTA